TCCTTTTATATACATTTTTAAGACTTTAAAGGCCTAAAGTATAGGAATGCATTAAAATAAATTAATAAAATTGAACAAAATTCAGACTTTATTTAAAATAATAAGTGAAAATCCATATTACATTCTTGCTTTGTAAACAATAGGACGTTCGGTAACTTTCATTCGATAACTGTGTTCTGAATAAAGTTTGTAGCTTTGGTGGTCGAGAAGCTCGAATAATTGTACGGGTGTGACGTTATTTCGGTTCGGTTTCGAATACGACAGTTTGGCGTTCGATCGTATCAAAAGGAATCGGTCGACAACTGAGTTATCGTAAAGTTCTGAAACGATCCCCAGCAGACCTTACGAATAATTACCTATCAGAAGCTCGAAACATGATTTACATACAGGTTTTATACCTCCGAAAACTTTTCATTTGTCTGAAAATACGTTACGATTGTTTTCATTACATCATTTATTGTTTCACTAATTTGATACATAGAAGAGTTTCCGGTTCCCAATTCTCATTTCCCTAACATTCCGTTTGACTATTGTACCGAATTGAATATTTTGTTTTTGCGAAAAAAAAAACGATATCCATACATATTTTTTATATTAGTTCTTATTACCGATATTACATGTATTACAAAGCGTCGCACAATAAATCCACAGGAGGGGGTCGAACTAGATAGGAAATGCAAACAAATTCGGTTCTGGCACTCGCCTCGATTTAGTTATACGTTACTTATACGTACGAATAAATATCTTTATTAATTAAGAAATTTTCATGCAAATAACTTAATGAAGTTACCTTTACCTTTACGCAAAATAGGCGCCTTGTCGTCGAGTTGCGGATACCAGCCCATTGCACCAAGTACCTTTACGTAATTCAAAATTAAAATTGTTACAAAAACAATGCAATATTTAGTCAAAAATGAAAAGCATGTACTTAAAATTCTTGTTACGTCTTTTTTAGGTACAATTTAAATTTTTAGAAGCAGTAGAGCGCCTTGTGAAAGAGTTCGTCCAGGGTAGTACTATCTTATCATTTCTGCCGCCAAGCAGTAATATCAGCATTACTGTATTCCGGTTTTGAAGGGTAAGGGTGCTGGTGAAATTACAGGCACATGGGACTAGTCAACTTATGTCTCAGCGTGACGGGCGCAGTGGTAGTGCCCCTCAGATCTTTGCAATTTAAAGCTCTGAGTGGCACTATAACTGTTATGGACAGGCGTGTAGCTTACCATCAGGCGTCACTTGAGGTTATATAAAAAATCTTACACTAACAATATACAATAAATTCAGACGGTTTTGAGCGTTTTTCTGACAGCTATGTCCACGTCCAGTGACCATTACAGTAAAGAGCCGGAAACGTTTATTTGTTTGTAAAAATAAATTATGCACAAAAAAAATAAATAATAATTACAGACCCAATGTAGGTAACTTTATGTTGGAGTTCATTATACTTAAAATTCGGATTTTTGTCGACTTCCAATGCAAATATTCACGTGATGTTTCATCAATTTGTATGGAATTTGAAAAAGGTTTTGGATTAACATTGTAGATTACTTTAGTGCATTTATCTTCCCCATTTGATAGTAAGGAGGTACTTTTTTGTCATAGTGACAGTATACTATGTATATTGCATCATATCTGCATTTCTGCGTCCCGAGAATAAATCGATACTGCGGTCTGAAAGCTTCCGGTAAAAACCAAACTTTCGAGACTATTTCATAATTAGGTGTCTATACTTATAGGTTAAGTATTAAGATCTCCAGATATGATATTTTAATCAAGTCCTTTATTAATACAAATGATTAAAAACAAAATTATTATGAAGTTATTTTTTTATTTTTACACGTAAGAAATAAAGGGCGTTTAATATAGTTGCAGGTAGATAGGACCTGATTTTATTACTACCATCCTTCAACCTCCACATATCGCACACTTTATGGAGGAATGGCATCAGTGGAGTTACGTCAAAAACGTCTATCTACAATATTAGTCGATATAGTTACAAGAATTGGAGAGGGTGTAGGTCATATTTTTCTGTATCTAATAGAGCAATAAACATGTTAGACGTAACTACACTTATGCCATTCTTCCAGATTTCTTTGAGGGGTGCGATATTATACTAAGCTCCACTACCGTGTTGCCATGTCCACGTAATCAGAATAAAAAATACTGTTGGTTTAGTAGATTTTTTAATACTGTTTATAAATAAATAATAATAAAATCTCTCTTTATTGCTTCCAATATAAACAAAATAAGATTATAAAGTCCTTAAAAACAAAGAAAAGCAACTACACTTAAGATGCTATGTAAATGTTTTTTGGGACTAGAAATTATAAGTATTATATTAACAGGATGCAAAAGGAGATGTCTAGCTGGTGGTGCTCTTGTTCAGGACAGTCGTAGCGCTGGTTTTCAGTCACCCCCTTCTGCCTTAGATGGAATGCGGGACAGAAATAGTGTCGAAGGCAGGGCTATAATATTATTTATATTATATTTAAATTGTGATCTAATACGAGACTTAAGTCCTGAGATTTAAACGTCAGTATCGAGTGACGAAAATGCTAAAAATCGCCGACTCTCTCGAAATTATCGATACCGAGATTCCCATGATTATCCCCTAATTTATAGATACGAGTAAATATCACTATACAACTAACAAATTAAAGGTTAAATGCATTTCCAGGCCAGTTCTCGTACAGCTCTAGTGGAGTTCGAATCAGCGTGTCTTCAGAGCCTCACGACGAGGACTCCACTGACGCCGAGATCTCCAAAATCGACTTCTCACAGCACCAGTACGAGGTGAATATTTTAACCAACACGACACCAACCCATTATTCACAGACCTGCTACAGTGTATCTGTCCAAAACATATTTATCACGACTTCCACGCGTAGTAACACATCAAGTTACGTTGAGATACACAATAAGTAAATTAATAATGCAATCGTAAAGAAATATATAATGTACAAAGGAATTCAGATATACAACACATTACCAAAAACCTCCAAATAATTGCCTCCGTGGCCGAACGGCTACCATGCCGGACTGCCATGCAGAGGTCCCAGGTTCGATTCCCGGGTCGGGAGAAATATTTGTATGCCCTACATTTATTTCTCTCGTGAATTTGGGTGTAATTTGTGGTTGTCTACGTGTGTTTCCATGGCACCCGCGACACAGGGTTTCCCTAGTGCGGGCCTGTGTTGAGTGTGTACGTTATTCTTATTATTAAAAAAAAAGATATAATCATTGCAATTGTGTGGATGATTTTCTTCAAAATTAAATGGGACCACTATAGAAGTACCCCCTTTCCAACAAAAAAGAATCATGAAAATCGGTTCACAAATTTTTCGCCGGAGTTATCGCGTAACATACATTAAAAAAATACAGTCCAATTGAGAACCTCCTCCTTTAAGTAACTAAAAACTTAAAACTTAAAGTAACTAAAATTCCACATGATGACGAATTTCTCACAAAATTGATGTTTTATTTTTATACTTATAATGTAATTAACCGACTTTAAAAACGGAGGAGGTTATGCTGTTATGTATTTTGTATTATGTATGTTACGCGATAAATTTATGAACCGATTTTGATAATTCTTTTTTGTTGGAAAGAGGGTACCTCAGCATTGGTTCCATTTAAATTTGAACAAAATGTTCCGCTATTCTGAGGGCGGTAAACTGGGCGATGAAGCCGGTTCCGGCAACTGATTTCAATAAAACTTGGCAAATTGGTGTAATTCCACGAATATTTGATGTCGGTTTCTTTATATAAAAATGTTATTGCTATCAAAATGTCACCATGGCCATTGATATACAATACTTGATAAGCGCCTTGGTTTTTCTTCTTATACTAGAACACAAAGATTTTCAAAGATTCTTCATTGCATTCACCATAATGTTACACAGGGTGGCAAAGCCTTAAAGCTCAGTTAACAGCGCATTATGGACCCTGTAGTGCACTCTAAATTATATATGGAGAGAGAAGGTTTTACTCTTTACAAAATTTAGAAAGTTAGAAATGTTGCGTAGTCTTGTATTTACTTCAGTTCACACTTATATAATTGTAAACTAGGGACAGTATATTTCAATTGATCAAATAAGAAAATAGAGTATTTATTTTAGTAGATTTTGTTAACACGTACTCTCTGTATAAGTTTTAGGATAGGTACCTTGTATGTTTCGCTAGGTGAATTTGTATTCTTTTGAGAAATAAATATCTTGAACCAGAATGCAATCATTCTGAATGAAACCAATTTACGACGAATTGTTATAAATATTAAAATATTAATGCGTTTCAGGTAAACATGCGAAGCAAGAAGAAGCGGTCGTCGAGTGGCACGCAATGCGATAGCCAGAGCAACGATCGCGAGCGCCCTATGTCCTGGGAGGGGGAGCTTTCTGATTCTGAAATGGTCATTGATACTAGTGTCAATAATGGTATGCATCCATCGTCTTCTTCACTTTAATATATGAGCATTCGTAAAGTATCTTAACAAGCTCTCTAGAAGATCGTCGGTTCACAGCGCTAACACGACATCAGCGGTGGCGCGTTAGTGCACGATTTGTGCGAGAAGCGACATAGAAGCGCGAAGTAGCAATATGTCACGCTTCTATGACACTCCAAGCGGAAGTTGCATCCGATCGTACTAGCGCTGCAAGATGCGACTTGCGCGAGAAGCGACTTAGAAGCGCGAAAATAGCGATATGTCACGCTTCTATGACGCTTCACGCGGAAGTTACGTTCGATTGTGCTAGCGCTGCAAGGTGCGACTTGCGCGAGATGCGATTTAGAAGCGCGGAAATAGCAATATGTCATGCTTTTATGACACTTCACGCGGAATTCACGTCCGATTGTGCTAGCGCTGCATGATGCGACTTGCGCGAGAAGCGACTTCAAAGTGCGAATACAGCAATATGTCACACTTCTATGACACTTCATGCGGAAGTTGCGTCAGATCGTGCTAGCGCTGCAAGATGCGACTTGCGCGAGAAGCGATTTAGCGCGAAAATAGCAACATGTCACGCTTCTACTACAGTTCACGCGGAATTCGCATCCGATCGTGCTAGCGCTGCAAGATGCGACTTACGCGAGAAGCGACTTAGAAGCGCGAAAATAGCGATATGTCACGCTTGTATGACATTTCACGCGAAAGTTGCGTCCGATCGTGCTAACTCTGCAAGATGCGACTTGCGCGAGAAGCGACTTAGAAGCGCGAACATAGCAATATTGGCTCGCCATGTGTGTTCTACCATTTGTATAAAGGGGAGTGCTCTGAGGAACTTTTTAAACTGTGTTACCGTTACGTTTCCACTATCCTGCCAAAGAAGTAGAGCCCATCCCCTCATCCTTGATGCCCGGCATTGTAAGACCAAGCGGGATCCACGTTCGTTCCGTGCTCGAATCCGCAAGATGTGGAATAGTCTCCCGCTTGAAGTATTTCCTTTGCACTATGACTACTAAAAGCGAGTCAACAGGGCTCTCAAAGGCTGGCACCGCATAGGCAGCTCTCCTGATATTGCAACTGCCTCAGTGGCGAACGGTTACCATGCCAGACTGCCACGCAGAAGTCCCAGGTTCGATACCCGGTCCGGGAGAAATATTTGTATGGCCTACATTTATTTCTCTCGTGAGTTTGGGTGGAATTTGTGGTTGTCTATGTGTGTGTCAATGGCGCCCGCAACACAGGGTTTCCCTAGTGCGGGCCTGTGTTGAGTGTGCGCGTTATTATTATAAAAAAATATTGCTGTCGGTCATGGGCGACGATGACCACCTCCCATCAAGTAGCTCGTCTGCTCACCGACTACTTTACATGAAAAAATATATCGTGTTTTTACGTCGCTTCTCGAAATCAAACCTCTTTTAATTGAGATACATTCTAAGTCTTTTGATCCAATAACTAGCTGGTGTAAGGAATAATAAAAATACATCACGCATCCGAAATTTTACAGGGTCAAGAGCACGTCAAGCTTGACACTTAAAATTTAAATCCAACTCTATGCCGCTTCCGATAAGAACAAAGTGTCAAGCTTGACGTGCTCTTGACTGTACATGTGATAACATTTGTGTGACAAATTTATCTATGTCTAAGTATAAACATGCGACTTTTGCAGATGAAAACAGCAATTCCCTCGACCTCCAATCATCCCGCGATTCCATAGACACACTTCGCAACGTGACCATCAAGACAGAACCGCTCAAGACCGAGCCCTTTCAGAGCCTGGATGACCAGAGGGTGCTCGACTTGAAGTACACAGCGCCACTGCAACCGCATCAGAGAAGTCTTAGTATGAATAGAGTAAGTACTAATTATGTCTCAAAAACCTATTTAGAATTTTATTCTCAATATATTAGAACTAGTAGTTCTTGTGCTTTCAAACAAAAAAAAATTGAAATTCAAAAAGTCATTTTAAAGGTGCTTTAATATGAATAAGATACTTATTTAATTAACTTACTAGTAGAATAATAATATAATACACCTAAAAATCAGGCTTGATTATTCGACATTATTCTATTCCGGTAATATTAATTATTTATTTATTTTGTCCACAAATATAAAGTTCCACATATTTTGATTTTGGTTCATGGTACACATAAAGTGTTTACAGCAGGTCTCTTACCACGTTCTTTTTTTTTCGATTCTGATATTACTATATCCGATTATACTTAATCACTTATTCAGTGATTAAGTATAATTTACTTTATACATTATTATGTATAAAGTAAACTTGAACCAGGAGTATATTTTGTGACCTCAGACAATTATTATCTATATCTAAAAGTCTTCGTCATTAGGTTTAATATTATCTTCCAAAAACTTAGCAATAACTGTCTTTTAATATTTTCAGATATCGGTTCTAACAGACAACGCGACCCTTTCCCTCCCTCGACGGCCTTCTCCGCCCACCAGCACCGCCAAGTCCTTAATCCTGGAGCAGGGTACAGTGCCAATGATGACACAGGCTACTGGTGAAGTCCAGAACTTGACTATTAAGAAGGAAACTCAGTTGTCGGGTGAGGAACTATTTTTTTTCTTTTGGTTGTTATAATCGATACGAGAGTGACATATCCTGGATCCGGGGGTGACCAACTGACTTATGTCAGTCAACCATAATCCAAATTTTATTTTCTATGTATGCTTTGTAGTCTTTTTTTTATAATGTAAAATGAATAATAGTTTAATATTTTACATTAACTGCTGTTTATTATTTATAATATAGTTTTACTGATTTTTTAATAAGAAATTTTAATTATGTTGTTTGCGAGTTAAGTTAACAGAATTTTAGTCAAAATATTTGCCAAAAGATAAATTTTGCAACGCCTTGTACGAAAAATGATATCACGCTTATTTTTGTGAATAGTTTTTTAGGAAGATGAAGCTTGTGAAATCAGAATTTAGATCACGTATTACAGATGCGCATCTCGAAAATTATTTGCGAGTCGCTACAACGTCGGTTGATGTTGATATAGACGCATTTACAGTGTATAAACAATGTCGGTGTTTCATTAAAATTTCATATCAACAAATTATAGTTAACCTTATCACGTTAAGTGATTTTTCGAGAAAGCGTTCCATTATGGAATAAGAAATAAACTACCTTTATTCTTAATATTGAAATACAACACAAAATAAAAAGGTCAAAACTTTGTATACATATTACTTATATTACATACCTGTATTAATTTTGACATAATATGCTCTACACCATTGACTTTAAAGTGGTTCTTGTTTGCTTTTGTTTGTTTTGAATGCCCATATGTATAGTAAAACATAAACATGTGCTTTTGTTTTACGAATTTGTTGATTTGTAAGTAAACTATGTTTATTTAGTAAAATACTGTAATAAGTAAAGTAACGATTCATTGTTTAGAGCTGAAATGTGAGCCGTCAGTCGGCATGGACAAGCTGCTCGGCGCGCTGCACGGGTCTCCCCTGCTGGGGCGTTTGCCGCGCGTGCAATCCAGCGCTAGCACCGACTCCGCCGTGCACTCAATGTACACTCACAGGTACTTGCATCCCCAAGAAATCATATATAACACAGTCTATATTATATTATATTGCACACATAGATACATATTGGTGAAATTACAGGCACATGGGACTTGTCAACTTATGTCGTACCAATTGTTCGTTCCGTCACTTGATATTTAAAAAAAACATAAAACAACCAATAATGTAAATTGATGCATGAAAGTGTAAGTGTAGAAGTAAGGTTCGAAACAAGTATGGTTTGAACAAGAGTGATTCAAATTCAGGATTGTTCAGCATTTTATTTCTATTTCATAATTATACTCCCATAATCGATATACCAACCCGCGATCCTGGTATAAACATATCAATAAGTAGATACTGCATTTAAGGCGAGTCTCACCGGAGGAGAAGCGGGAAAAACTTTTGTCAGATCAAGTGGTTTAGGTATTTGCTATAAATAACGATCTTACAAAAATATTCTTGACACCTAAGGATATTTTAACACTCACACTCAAAGCCTCGCGCTAGGGAAACCCTGTGTCGCGGGTGCCATGGACACACACATAGAACACCACAAATTGCACCTATACTCACGAGAGCAATAAATGTGGTATTCGAACCGGAGACCTCTGCGTGGCAGACCAGTATGGTAACCGTTCGCGCACGGAGGCACTTAATATTGTGTAAAGAACGTGTAATGTGTAAAAAAATTCCTGAAAAGTGTGTAAAATAAAAGTCTGAAATCTGAAACGAATTATTTATCTAACTTTGTGTATAATTTTCATATGGAGATATTTCTCTTATAAGTACTACAGCGAACCTGCTAAATTTAGATTTTACAACTGAAACCCTGTAGATATTAAATTCACATTTATACCAAAATTAGCAAATGGCCCAGCGGTTTAACGACACGCCGCTCCGCCCGCCCTGTCAATCGCTATTGGGCGCTTGTCGACGTTGGATCAGTGTCAAATTTTCTCCGCCTGTTCTTATTTTATTCATATTAATTTACACCGCGCGGATTGCGGGACGCGAGGGGCGACCTCCTAAAATCTAGGTTCGTGCTGAAATATCTTGCCTAATAAAGGTAATTTCAATATCTTACGAGAATACTATGATGAACGCCTTATTATGTTTTAAATTATGTTTACAACTTGTAGGTTCAACTAAAATAATAATGTGACAACCCTACGCTTATGCGCTAAGCAGGCAGGAGTTGCTCTACTTGTCTTATATACTATGCAAGGCTTGCATTTGCTTAAAGGGAGAATCTGATCTACCATTGTTGAATCAAATTGAGAAATAAATACATTTTTTTTAATAACTATATATGAACAATGCACGTTTGCACACAGTGTCTACAGTAGTCCATCGGCAAGTCCCCGCGCGTCGCGACACTACACGCCGTCACTGTCCCGCAACAACAGCGATGCTTCACACTCCTCCTGCTACTCTTACAGCTCCGAATTCTCGCCTACGCATTCTCCTGTTCAGGTAACCTTGTCTTATGTTACAATATTAATAATTGATTTTTTTTTACTTTGATTGACTAGTGCTAAAACCACGTAGCGACAAAATGACGCTGACATATTAAATGTCATGGCTGAATACATCATTTTGTGGTCTCACATGATGTATCAAACTCACGGAAGAAAAAAAAATTGGAAAGAAGAAATTAGAAATTGTGGATTGTTAATATAATTTAAACTTTACCCCGTTAGCTTGAAAGTTCAATATCATCAATACCTATTGCGAGACGTTTTAATATTATATTGAAATTTCAATCAATGTGCTGCCATCAAGCGGTTAATTGCTGCACGACGACGAATTGAAGTTATTAATTTGGTTCTCGACAAAAGAAGCGACCATATTGCAGGGGTATAAGCTTTACTTTCGTGTAACAAAACAATTATTTCGATAAACAGGAAATTGAAAATTTATTAAAATAAGACTTTCCGATGATATGAAGCACCACCAAGGGTGATTGATATTTTTGGTGCGACTATTATTATTGCAGTCCAAAACAGCGCAATAGGCACTTTTCTAGGATTTTAAAGAATTGGCACGAAAGAATGACACAACCATACCATACAAAGCGAAAATGGCGGACTGAGGTGTAATAGGTCTTTCGAGACCTATAATTGCCACGCGTCAGACGTTAACTAAACATTTCTACTGTATTTATTGTTATGTGATCAAACCGTATAGAACTGATAAACAGTAGTTCCATTTATGTTGACTACATAGTACAGAATACTGTTCTAATTTGGCAAGTCGGGTAATCTTAACGTTGTTTTATTTTTTCAGGGTCGACACCCACATGTGGTATACCGCGAAGCGACTGCCGGCGCGGTATTTCCTGCGTCGCCCGCTCACGACGAAGACGCGGAAACAGCTGACGAGCGACTGCATCACCATCAGGGCATTAGCCGACAACAGCTGATTAATAGGTAAGATTTATCTCCAGTAGGGTATTCTGACCAGAAATCACTGATATTTTCCGGTGACTATTTGAGGTGTCCATTTAAAAAAGGGGTTTTTTGGCAACCCTGTGCAAGCGCACAATGACGGTAAATATGCAGCGTTGGCCTTATCACAAGATGCCGAAGCGTACCGTCTGCTCGCGCCTGCCTTCTCTTCAAAGCAGTCGTAACGTTAAATGTAAAAACCTGTCGAAACATCCCGAAGGTTGCCGAGGCATTCCGAATGCTGCCGAGACATTCCGAGGGCTGCCGGCTCGGTATCCCTAAGTTTATAGTGTGTATCTTTGTTATCTTTTTTTTCGTAGCTAGTACCATTATTGTTGAAATTGCAACTATAATGTCATAATATTATAGGCGTTATTATGCAACGTAAGTTTTTTCTTGTTTTCATAAGAACCAAGTAAATGCATGAGCGGGTCAAAAAGATTTTAACAGAAGTTATTTGCAAAAGTCGAAGTAACACCTAAAACTTTATTATCACTATATATTTGACTTTATTTTCCAGTCCGTGCCCAATCTGCGGCGACAAAATCAGCGGGTTCCACTACGGCATATTCTCGTGCGAGTCTTGCAAGGGCTTCTTCAAGCGAACCGTGCAGAATAGAAAGAACTATATGTGTCTACGAGGCGGAAATTGTCCCGTTACGGTAGCCACTAGAAAGAAGTGCCCTGCATGCCGATTTGATAAGTGTTTAGGATGTGGAATGAAGCTTGAAGGTAAGTGACGTCATCATCAACCATATTGATACATATAAAATAAGCTTCTTCTAATTTTGAAATAAAAAAAATTAACAGCGAATATGTCACTAAAGTGGCCAATTATTTTTCAATTGGAAATAGTCAAAAGAGATCGGCTGCCACTCGCACATGTTTTTAAAAATTATGTCGTGATAAGAAATTGCACTAGTGATAAAGATGCAATCTAAATCCGTTCACTAGGCAAAGCGCAACACGTGTTGCTAGTCCTCTTGCGCGCCGTTTATGCAATTATGCCATACATTTACTATGGATAAGTTGTAAAACAAAATATTATCGTTGCGCGTCTTGTTTCGTATTGTGATGCTCAATTTATTGTTGCTTATTTGTTGATCATTAATCCACCTTTACCGATTGATTTACGATTTCAGCGATCCGAGAGGACAGGACACGTGGCGGTCGGTCAACGTACCAATGCTCGTATTCCCTTTCGGGTGCATCGTCTACGGGCTCTCTCCTTTCCGCACATGTCCCTACTACTCTACGGCATGCTTCCAGTCTTACTTGTGTGAGTATTAATTAAAATATGTTGAATTTCATGTACGAAGAAAAGCAACGGCACTAGGATGGGTCCTTGTAGGACTCCGAAAACTCGTCATTGTAGAATGCACAGACTATTTTATTTGGAAAAAAAAAACAGTGGCACTACGATAGAAAGTACCTGTCTTTGTGGGGTACCAAAAGCGTTTTAGATGAAATAAAGCAGTGGCACTAGGATAGTTTCTTGTAGATCCAGACAATTTTCTTTGAAGAAATGCGCTTGTTACAGAATTTACAAACAATTAAAAAAGTGGCACTATAATAGGGCCTTGTAAAATACCTATACTATTAAGAAGATAAGAAGTGCCGCATCTCGTAGGGCGCCCAAACTATTTTGTGTTTAAACAAAAGCAGTGGCACTAAAATAGGTCCTTGTAGGACTCCCGACCTATTTTGTTTTAAATCAAGAGAGCATATTTTCACATCCATGATAGATGCGTTTGGGACAGTCAGCAAACAAACAAACGTCATTATTAATATATCAACTCATCTTGCAGGTAAATGGCCCAGGTTCATATAGCCGAGGAGAATCCAGTAATAGTAGACTAACTCCTGACATACCTCCGTTATTACAGGTATGTTCTCATCTTACTACTTACTACATGGCATTCATTACATCGAGTTTAGAAAGAGCTTATGTCAACATGTAATGAAGAGATATTTACAAAGATAAAAAGCATGAAATGTTATAGGGGGAGAGTTGTTATTCGATAAAATACCTATAAATATTAAAATGACAACAAATTACCTAATTTTATTTTTGGAGTGGTATTTGGTGTTTTTGGCTTAATTTATCGATGCTGAATCTCGCCCTTAATGATTCTTTCATTTTTTTAAATTTTTTGTTTAATGCGGTTTATCGAAGCAAGAAGTTGAACTTAAAAATAACAAGTGTTTATAATCCATGCTCTGTATATAAGAATGATTCGTAATGTATTTTATCTAAACATCACGTTTTGCCCAGATATATATAGATAATATATTAGTGAAAGAATCACAGAAATCGAGGAATAGGTTTTGAGAAACTTAATTTTCCCGTACGTGTATGTATTTCACAATATACAGGGAAAACAAAGAACCATCCATAATGTAATTTTTAAGTTTCATGTTAACGATGTTTGACCACTATGATATCCAATTATTTTTGTAAAATTACTCCACTTATTAATACAAAGATTGAACACTTAGAAAAATTCGTTCGATCCGACTGGATTCGAACCAACGTCTTGCAGCAAATCGTGGCCGACGCTATACCAACTAAGCCACAGAACGAACTAGCGGAGCTTACGATTTTTTTTGATTTTGGTTTTTAACGACTTTTTTATCGTGTCGCCATCTGTGAGAAATCTATTTCTTCACTCAGTCCGGTACCTTAACAGCTACCAGCAGCTGGCCAGAGATGTCGCTTTGATAACTAATTTTTAAGCTTATTGAATGTCACGATGTTCAAGACACGGTGTTTAGTGGAATAATTTTACAAAAATAGTTGAATATCATTGTAGTCAGTCAGTTCCGCTAGTTCGTTTAGTGGCTTAGTTAGTAAAGCATCTGACACGGTTTGCTGCAAGGCGTTGGTTCGAATCCAGCCAGATCGAAGGATATGTTTCTAAGTGTTCGATCTTTGTATTAATAAATTATAACTCGCTATTTTTTGCAAGTTAGTTAATAGAATATAAATGTTTTGCGGGGATGCTTCGGTAGTTTGGTCATGTAGAAAGAATGAATGTTGGTAGATTGTCGACACAAATTTATAAAGTGAATGTGGATATTATATGCCTCTACCAGGTTGGAGATGTCCTTAAAAAAACCGTGTTAAAAGTACCCTAGAATAAACAGGCATGTATGAAGAGACTGGTGGGAGTGGTGGAGGTGAAAGTTTGACAGGACCGTAGCAGATGGAGGTCCCGGTACCCCGGTGGGAGACAGGCGTAATGATATTGATGTAATATAAAATATTTTACTCGTTGACAGGAAATAATGGACGTAGAACACCTGTGGCAATATAACGAGTCCGAATTGAAAAACCTTGGCAAATCAACGGGAAGTCCGTCTGCCAACCCACTCTTAGCAGCCAGCGGCATCACTGCTCAGAACTCGAGTCCTGACTTTCTCGCGGACCTGTGCAATATTGCGGACCACCGGCTGTATAAGATCGTCAAGTGGTGCAAGAGTCTGCCACTTTTTAAGAATATTTCCGTGAGTAATTGTTTATTATTAATTCTTCCTTGCATATACATTTTACATGAAAATAAATCGATACATATTAACAGTAATAATGAGGTGCTGGACAAACAAAACTATTACCTGATTTATTATAAGTGAATTCCTTGTATTATGATTGCGAGAACAACAAAAATAAGAAAGTAGACGCAACTAAACCAATGGTAGATTTTGAAGTTATTCAGTTTCTTCAGACTTTTGTTGATTTGGCCATGATTTACAATGTTTCCAAAGGATTAACTCTTGTGAAACATGCATGTGATTAAACTTGTTTTCTTTCCCAGATCGACGACCAAATCTGCCTGCTGATCAACAGCTGGTGCGAGCTGCTGGTGCTGTCTTGCTGCTACCGCGGCGTCGGCACACCTGGAGAGGTGCGGGTGGGTGGAGGACGCGGTATCACGCTGCATCAGAGTGCCAAGTTAGTATAGAATACTCTGTAAACTGCATTGAAATCCTTTGTAATGATGGAAATAATCTGCGGTTTTGTATTTTGTGGTGAAAGCCTGTCAAATATACCTATACATAAATTGTGTTGTTTCTTTTATAGATTGGGCTTAACGCCTTGCATAGAACGAATGTTGACGTTTACCGACCACCTTCGACGATTGCGAGTCGACCGATACGAATACGTCGCATTGAAAGTTATTGTGCTGCTCACGTCAGGTAAAAAATATCAGAATTAATATTTATTTTGTGTTTATAAGTACGGGGTTATTTTTAAAATACTAACAACAACAACATACTAAACAACAACTTTTGTGTTCATGATTTTTCACTAAACATAATAAATTTCCTAAAAATAGGCTTTTAAGTTACCTTCAATAAAATTTACGGAATGCAACTAAGAATACTAAAAACTATAGTACCTTCTAAAATTAAATTAAAGTATAAAGACGATTACCGCAGTTTGTTCCACCACTGCAAAATACTTCCTATACATGAAAAATTAAAATATATGCTGCTAGCCGAACACTTTTTTGGTAAAAGTATACAATCTACCTACAGTGGTGAAATGAAGATGCGAAATGTCTGTAATAGATTGTTGATACCGTCTTATCGAAATCTTTATGGTAAAAATAAATTAAAATATATAATACCTTACCTAATAAACGAAATTCCTAAAGAAATAAAAATATCGTTAAATTGTAAAAACATCAAACCTAAATTA